TTCTTGCGGTGGTGCAGCTCGTGAACAAGCTGGATCACACCGGGGAGGTGACTGTGTTCACGGCGAGCGACCGGGAGACATTTCGTGTTTTCTCCCTTTTCGCAGGCATATCCATTAACAATTCCCACCTGCTAGAGTTTGCTGTGAATGCCGGCCGAGAAATGATGGAGCTGAACGAGAACCGTGCACTGGCTGGTGGCCGACGCGCCTCAGTACGCAATATAAAGCGTCCGCTTGCCATTACGGACAGGGAAAGAGATGCGGTACGGGAAATTGAACTCGGCCATCTGGACATCACAAGCGTTGAATTCGACCTGTTCTACGTGCGTGAGAATATGGAGGAGCCACTTGACGCCGCCGCTGCCGTTGCGTACAGACTAATCTTGGGGACTGGTCTTCCTCAGAAGTTTCGCTGCCGTGATGACACGTTGCTGAACTTTATCCTCCAGTGTCGGAAGAAGTACCGCAGTGTGCCGTACCACAACTTCTACCACGTTGTGGATGTATGCCAGACCATGTATACCTTCCTGTACAATGGCGCTGCCTGCGAAAAGCTGACCGAGCTCGACTGCTTTGTGCTGCTGGTGACGGCGCTGGTGCACGACCTTGACCACATGGGGCTGAACAACAGCTTCTACCTCAAGACGGAGTCCCCGCTAGGTATTCTGTCCAGTGCGAGCGGCAACACCTCGGTGCTGGAGGTGCACCACTGCAACCTTGCCGTCGAAATTCTCTCCGATCCGGACTCGGATGTCTTTGAGGGACTTGAATCTGCCGATCGCGCCCTGGCGTATCGCGCCATGATTGACTGTGTGCTTGCAACGGATATGGCGAGACATAATGAACTTCTAAATTTGTTTCTGGAATCAATGGAAAAACCGTATTCAATTGAGGATACTGGTGCCAGACAAATGGTCATGGACGTTATAATGAAGGCGGGTGATGTCTCGAATGTGACGAAGCCGTTTGACATTTCTCGTCTGTGGGCCATGGCGGTGACGGAGGAGTTCTACCGCCAGGGCGATATGGAGAAGGAGAAGGGTGTGGAGGTGCTGCCCATGTTCGATCGTTCCAAGAACACAGAGTTGGCCAAGGGCCAGATTGGCTTCATTGATTTTGTTGTCGGCCCGTTTTTTAAGAAGATTGTGGAAGCCGGCCTCACTGGCATGCAGTGGACGGTTGACCGTGTGAACAGCAACCGTGCAGAGTGGGAGCGAACTCTGGCAGTTAGGAATGTTTCCGGTGATTCGAAATGATGTATTTGTGAGAAGTGTCAAGGGAGATTACGATGTATGTAGAAATTTTTTCCGTTGATCTTGTTTTATTGGGGTGGGCTATGTTTAGTTTCTGGCTTCGGCTTCTAGGTGTATTGCCGCCAGATGGATTGCGCTTTCTTGGATCTCAATCATTTTTTTCAATGCGAAGCTTATTTATCCGCGTTGTGTCTATCCCTTGAACTCTTCTTTGGTTCTGGCGATGCGAGAAGCGCATGTACATCTTTTTTAAATTTTGTATTTGTTTGAACTTCTCCGAATGCGTGCGTGTGTGTGCGTTTGCCTTCGTCTCTCTTGAGTTGGCGCATGCGATGCCGTGCTTGAAATAGGACTGCTTTTTTTGTTGTTTTGTTTTGTTTTGTTGTTGTTTCTATTTGTTCTCGCGCATTTTAACGTTTCTCGCGGTTGTTGTTGTGTCTGCCTTTGCCCCTTTTGTTTTCATTTTTTTTTTTCCTCCTTGGCTGTGTGTTTTGCCGCGAATTCAACCCCGCGCCGCTGCCTCCACGTAGAAGAGTCTACAAGGAAATTTGCGAATGACGGCTGAGATCAGTGAGAAGGCTTTTCCTCTTGCCGGGGACCGCCTGACGCAGACAATCCTGGACCTAGTGCAAGAGGCCAGCAACGCGAAGATGATCAAGAAGGGGGCCAATGAGGCCACCAAGGCCCTCAACCGGGGCATTGCGGACTTAATTGTGCTGGCGGGCGACACGAACCCTATCGAGATCCTTCTGCACCTCCCTTTGCTCTGCGAGGACAAGAACGTGCCGTACGTGTTTGTGCCTTCCAAGACGGCGTTAGGTCGGGCGGCTCAGGTCTCCCGCAACGCGGTGGCCCTGGCGATCCTGCAGTCAGAGAACAGCCCCATCTCCGCCAAGGTTCAGGCAGTCAAGCTAGAGATCGAGCGCCTCTTGTAAGCCGTCGGTGAGGAGGAGCTTGCATGGAGGCGGGAAAGGGGAAACAAGAAGAAAAAAAAAGAGGAAACGCAGAGAAGAATACAAGAAAAAAAACAGTAAGACAGCACACACGAAAAGTAAAGGCATTACAACATATATGCTTGGAGGAGAGAAAAAGGAAAGGCGGTCCTCTCCTCCCTCTGCCTTCCTCCCTCGAGTGGGAGGGCGGCGGGGGAAGGAGGTTGTGTCTGTTGAGTGGGGGCCGGGGATGCCTGTAGACGGCGGTGGGAGGACGGCAGATGCCCGCCCCCGCCCCCAAGAGATTTAATGGAATCCGTTAAGCTGAGAACTGGAGAGCCACGATTGAAGGTACAAAAAAAAGAAAAATATGAAGGGGAAAAAAAGAAGGGGGAAAGGAATGAAAGGGAAAAAAAGGACGCCCATCGACGGAGCGGCATGAATGCAGGTCCTTCGCGAAAAGGGCGTTGGTGATAAACGATTTAAAGAGACCCCTCGTTTTTTTCTTGTTATACATAACTCTTCACTGTTGTTTCTATCTGGCGTGTGTGCGTGTACTGCGGGCTTCTTCGCATTGCGCTGTTGTGGTTGCCTGGGGGCGGTGAGCATGCCTCTCTTCTTTTTCGCTTTTAGATTTGATTTTTTTCGGACGAGGTCTCCGCTTCGTGTCCGTTGCGGGTGTGCAATCGAAAAGGAGAATACAAACGGACAAACAAAAGACAACGACGGTGCTTCGCTTTTTTTGCTGTTGGTTTGTTTACTTTGGTTGATGGCAACTCAGTGCGTCGCCAAGTGCGGTGGATATCGCTCGCTGCGTGCCGAATGCGCTCGTGACCCGTGTTTGGCGCAGGGAATGTGTAAACTGATGGATGTGGGCATTAGAGACTGCGCCGAATGGTGTTGTGTGGGCCGGGGCGGCTACGTGTTCCTCACAGTTCTCTTCTTCTGCGGCGGAACCTGCGCTCTGTTTAGTATGTACTACCTTTGGCGTCTTCACCGGGCCAATGTCGCCGCGGGGGCCGTCACAGAGACTGGCGAAAAAGTAGAGGTCCCCCCCGAGTCGGACCCCCGCGCAGTGGCGGCGCAGCAGCGCCGGAAGCGCCAAGTCACGGTCGACCCGGAACTGCTTAGGGCCATCGGCCTCTCGCCGCCAGAAGACGAGAGGCAGGGCGTTGGGCGGTATCGCGAATGTTAGCTGCATGACGGCGAACTATTTCAACCGTTGCTGGGTCTCTCTCTATATATATATATATCTCTGTGTGTGCATTTGCATCAAGCTCGCTTTGTTGTTGTTTTTTTTTCTCGTTTTGGTGGTATTTTGCTGATAGACTTGTGCGGTGCCGCAATGGTGGCCGATGCATTTTTTTTTCTTTTTGCTTTCCACTTTCCTTCTTGCCCCGTTTGTTTGTTTGTTTGTTTGTTTTTTTTTTTTCTTCGCCCTTCACCCCACCGCGTTCTTTCCACGACGCAATCGCACACACACGCACACACGCACATGTAATGGGCCGTTAAGAAACATCTGTAGTCCCGCATTTACGTCTGACTGATTGCGCTTGTGTTGCGGTCAGTTTCTACTAAAAGCAAAAAAAAACAAGGGATAAATTAGCTGTGCTGTGCCCATCCTCGTCTTTGAGGCCCAATAATTTCTGTTTGTTCCTCGGCGTCGCGGCTTCCATTCGTCGCTCACTGACACTCCACCATGGCAATGGTGAAGGCGTCTTCGCCCGGCAAGGTTCTCATCCTTGGCGGCTACCTCATCGTGGAGGCGCCCAACGTGGGGATCTCTGTCGGCACGACGGCACGCTTTGAAACCCGGCTGCTGTCGCGCCGCGCCGCGACCAATGGGAAGTGTTGCGTGCGCATTCATTCGCCTCAGTTCGGCAAGGAGTTTGCGTTTGAGTGCGCGGTCGACAACACTCCCGAGCCCACCGTCTCTGTGGCCCAGACAGAGGGGCCCGATTCCCCTTTCTTACGCCATGGTCTCCTGTACACCGTGGCTGCGGCGCTTGCGCACGGTGGAGACGTTTTCAAGGAATTAACGTTGGAGCTGCTCGCCGACAACGACTTTTACAGCCAAAGAAACTACTTGGTGTCACAGGGAAAGGAGGTCACCGTGTCCAACCTGCGTTCGCTGCCGCCGCACCTGCCTCTTCTTGGCGACGTCTCCAAGACAGGGCTGGGCTCCTCAGCTGCAATGACGACCAGCATGGTGGCGTGCCTCTACCGTGCCCTGACCACCCACAACGGCGGGAGTGAAGGCCGTGAAAATAATATTGACGCGGCGGCGGAGAAGGAGCTTATTCACCGCGTTGCTCAGGTGGCTCACTGCGTGGCGCAGGGGAAAATTGGAAGTGGGTTTGATGTTTATACCGCGACCTACGGAACTTCTGCGTACCGCCGCTTTTCGCCACGGCTGGTCGAGACGGTGATGAGTGGCAAAGAATCTCCTGTTAAGGTGGTGGTCTCTGCCCTCGCGGGCTGTGTGAGTCTGGAGAAGGAGTGGGTGAAGCGCGTTCCGTTCCAGCTCCCCCCCGGGCTGAAGCTCGTCTTGGGGGACGTTCACCAAGGTGGCTCCGGCACACCCGGAATGGTCTCCAAAGTCATGGCATGGCGGAGCTCAGTTGCCGGTAATCCGGATAGTCTTTGGGAGCGACTCCGGGCGAACAACGAGAAATACGTGGAGGCATTGAAGAAGCTGATTCAGCAGGCTAACACAATGCCAGAGGAGCATGCGGAATCCGTGAATGCCCTAAAGCAAGCCGTGCTTGCTCAGTACACCCCCAAAAACGATGCGGAGCGACTTTGGATGGAGGCGGCAACTTATGCCTCCACGAGTCGACGTTACCTGCGTGAAATGGGTCAGGCTGCCGCTGTGGAGATTGAGCCGAATGCGTTGAGCGTTCTGCTCGATGCCACCTATGCGCTTCCAGGCGTATTTGCGGTGGGGTGCCCCGGAGCAGGCGGGTACGACGCCGTATTTGCCCTGGTTCTGGGTGACGAGGCCTGCAAAGCTGTCGAGGTGTTTTGGGAGGGGTACGCAGCCATGCACGTTTGCCCGTTACTGGTACGCGAGGATGCCGCTGGGCTTATATGTGTTTCTGAAGGAAATTAGTGGTGGTCAAAATATCACAGGAAAGCAGAAACACACACACACACACACACAACTATTTATTTTTTTTATTGTAAGGGGTCCACAAAGACTATGCGGGGGGTTGCCTGCCCCTCTCTCTTTCTGTGTCTCTTTCCTCTGCGGCTGCGGTCCCAGCGCGGCGAGGCCTCCTCCTGCACCTTGTCCTCTCTTCCGCTCTCGTGCTTGTCATCGTCCCTGCTTCCCTGCTTCCCTTTCATCCAGCAAACGCTACTCATTAGCAGGCAGGTAAACTCAGGGGAAGAGTGACAAAGAAGAGCGCGAAGGGAGATAACTAAAGTAAAACAACGGTAACAACAAGAAGAAGAACATCCATCGATCATGCTGGAGGCCCAAGTTCAACAGGCCAATCTGTGGAAGCGTCTGATTGAATGCATCAGCGGCCTAGTCAATGAGGCCAACTTTGACTGCAACCCCGGCGGTCTCTCTATTCAGGCCATGGACACAACTCACGTCGCTCTTGTGCACCTCCTCCTCCGTGACGACTGCTTCAGCAAGTACCAATGTGAGCGGAACAGCATTCTCGGTCTTAATCTTGCCTCCCTTTCAAAGGTGCTGAAGATTGTTGAGGGCTCAGACAGTTTGACGCTGCACCACGAAGATGACTCAGACGTCGTTGTATTGACCTCTGAAAACATGGAGAAGTCACGCAAGTGCGAGTACCAGCTGAAGCTGATGGATATTGAGGGGGAGGCGATGGGGATTCCCGAGATGGGGTACGGCTCAACGGTGACGCTCAGTTCGCAGGAGTTCGCCAAGATTGTTCGTGACATGAACGTCTTTGGTGAAACGGTCACGATCGAGATTCGGAAGGAGGGTGTGAAGTTTAGCTCATCCGGAGACCTGGGCGAGGGGTACGCCTTTCTGCGCGCCACCGGAGGGTCGGGGCGCGCCGTAAAGACGGCGCCGGAGGTAAAGAAGGAGGACGACGAGGACATGCCTATCGGCCGCGCCAACGCGTCAAGCCCGAAGAACGGCAGCACCGCCATTGGGGTTGAGGTGCAGACGGATGAGCCTGTCACGCTGACTTTTGCGCTGCGTTTCATGAACGTCTTTGCGAAGGGCTCCACGCTGAGCGAGCGTGTCACGCTGAAGTTTGCCCCTGACAGCCCGTGCATGGTGGAGTTCAACATTGACAACGTCGGCTACCTGCGCTACTTCCTCGCCCCCAAAATGGACGACGTGATGTGAGGCGCCAAACTGTCTGCTCTGCGGCCTCGACGCGCACCAAAATATGCACGACGAGTGAACGGCGAAATGGAAGCTTTGGAAGCAAAATAATAAAAAAAAAGAGCGGAGCGGGGTGGGGTGGGAACGAAACAAAAAGAAACAAGCAAACCAGACAAGGAAGGACGCCGACGTGGGCGGTGAGCGGAGCTGAGGGAGAACATCGAACGAAATCCATACGCACAGAGGTAAGCAGGAGCTACGAAGGCAAAAAAAAAAAAATAGGTTTTCTTTTTACTTTTTTTTCCCGTTTTTACTTTTCCTTTGTTTTAATCCATAAAATTTCATAGAGTTCCAGAGGAGGAATCACAGCGGCAACACAACGGCAACGATAACATTACAGAAGACGGCGGTGGTGGTGGTGATGAATAATGTGGCTTCGCTGTAACGTTTATGGGAGCCATGGGCCGTCAATATCGTCCTCTTCTCTCTCGGGGTGTGTGCGAGAAGCCTCTCTGGCCGCGAATTACTAGGGAAACTTCGTGGCATTTCCCACGTTTGCCTCATTGCGGCTTACTAATTTATCTTTGTGCCCACGATGGAGAGAAGTAGAGAGATCTGTTGTGTGTGTTGTTGTGTGTTGTTGTTTTGGCTTTGGTTTTGTTTTGATGAAGGGGGCGGTGCCGCCTGCCTTCTTCTTTCCCCGGCATTTGTTTTGTTTCTTGTTGTGTCTTGCTCGTGTTTCAGTGAGCCCCTTCCCCGCCCCACATGTGGTGCAATGTCGAGCGTCACCCACACAGATGCTTCGTAGAGGAGGCTCAGAGCAAATGACGTGGCGGCACGACGCGACGAGGAGAGGCGTGCGGCGGAGCAAAAGTTAACGGGGGCATGCTTAAAATGGACCGCTCCGACGGGAATGTTTGCCTGCTGCTGCTGCTGCTGCTGCTGTGGCAATGACTGGATTCCGCGCGTGCAGGCGGCGGCTGCGGGCAAGGTTTGCACGGGTGCCACCCACTTGCTTCAATGCCTTTTTCTTCCCTTCCCTCTCCGCTTGTCCAGGTCAGCCGCCCGATACACAGCGTCTAGTAGTGCGTAGTAGGCAGGGCACCGTAAGAACGTTTCGTCGTCTCTCATCGTTGCTTTGGAGGAAAATGCCGGCCCCGGCCACAACTGCGGTTGCCGCTTCGGAGCCTGTGCTCGAGGTGAAGAAGGATCTGCGCCTGCTGCAGACTGGGCGCCCGGTGGCGGGATATTCCAACACACCAGAGTTGCTGGAAAGGCACAATGCCGTGACGGGGGGGAAGCCCTACTTCCGTTTCCCTCCAGAGCCCAACGGCTTCCTCCACATTGGCCATGCGAAGAGTATGAACCTGAACTTTGGCTGTGCCGTGGCGCACGGCGGCAAGTGCTACCTGCGCTACGACGACACCAACCCGGAGGCGGAGGAGCAAATCTACATCGACGCCATTCTGGAGATGGCGCGCTGGATGGGGTGGAAGCCTGACTGGGTCACCTTTTCCTCGGACTACTTCCAGCAGCTCTACGATTTTGCGGTTCAGCTTATTAAGGACGGCAAGGCCTACGTTGACCACTCAACCGCGGAGGAAATTAAGAAGCAGCGTGAGAGTCGCGAGGAAAGCCCATGGCGCAATCGCCCTTTGGAGGAAAATCTTCTCCACTTTGATTACATGCGACAAGGACGGTACGCCGAGGGGGAGGCCACGCTGCGGGTGAAAATTGACATGAAGAGTGATAATCCAAACATGCGTGATTTTATTGCCTATCGCGTCAAGTTCTCCGAACACCCGCACGCAAAGGACAAGTGGTGCGTTTACCCTAGCTACGACTACACCCACTGTCTCGTCGACAGCCTGGAGGACATCGACTACAGCTTGTGCACCTTGGAGTTTGAGACACGGCGCGAAAGCTATTTTTGGCTGCTGGAACAACTGAACCTCTGGAGGCCGTTTGTGTGGGAGTTTAGCCGTCTTAACGTGACCGGGTCGCTGCTCTCAAAGCGCAAAATCAACGTGCTCGTGAAGAAGGGCATCGTCCGTGGTTTTGATGACCCGCGGCTGCTGACGTTGGCCGGCATGCGTCGGCGCGGCTACACCCCAGAGGCCATCAACCGATTCTGCGACCACGTGGGCATCACACGCTCGATGAACGTTATTCAGATCTCCATGCTCGAGCATCTGCTTCGCGAGGACCTGGACGAACGCACCGAGCGCCGTCTGATGGTCGTGGACCCGGTCAAGGTCGTCATTGACAACTGGGACGGCGAAATGGAGGTGGAGTGCCCCAACCACCCGCGCAAGCCCGACCTGCAGTCGCGAAAAGTAAAGTTCACCAAGACATTTTACATCGATCGCAGCGACTTCCGCACGGAGGACAATAACAGCAAGTTCTACGGCCTCGCACCCGGACCACGTCCTGTGGGGCTGAAGTACTGTGGGAATATTTTTTGCCGCAGCTACGAGTGCGATGAGGCGGGGCGCCCCTCCCTCATTCACGTCGAGGTGGACTTTGAGCGCAAGACGAAGCCAAAGACAAACATCACTTGGGTCAGTGCGACGTACGCGGCGCCGGTGGAATTCCGCCTCTACGGATACCTCTTGAAGGACGATCGCGCCGCCATTGACCCGGAGTTCCTCAAGTACATTAATACCGAGAGCGAGCAGGTGCAGCAGGGCTATGCCGAATTGGCAATACAGAACGCGAAGGTGTTTGAGTCCGTGCAGGCCGAGCGCTTTGGGTACTTCGTCGTGGACCCAGACACGCGGCCCGGCCACCTTGTCATGAACAGGGTGCTGACGCTCAAGGAGGACAAGGAGAAGGGCGCCGCGTCCCCTCGTCCTCAAAAGTAAAGCCACTGAGCCCACAGAACTGGAAGAAGCCAAAAGGGAAAAGGGGGAAAAAATGAGTAAGAGAATGAGAGAAGCCGAAAAAAAAACGCAACTTAAACATATATCTGCATCTCTACACACACACTCACACACACACACAAGGAAGGGGCGGGATGAGGATTAACGCAACGAAGGCAAACACAAACCGACGTGTTGTTATCGTTGATTTTGTCGTGATGTGGGGGTTTGTGTTGTTGTGCGGCCTCGCTTCTCTTTTATGTGGGTGGTCTAAGTAACGGCATTGATTTGTATCCCATGCTTTTCTTTTTGTCTACTTGCGTGTGTGTGTGTGTCTGTGGAGTGGCGGAGGGGGCTGGTGCAAGTCAAGCCCTCCTCTTCCCCCGCTTCATCCACCTACCGCTTCTTACGTGTTTGCGGGGCCCGCCTTCGCACGGTGCCGGCTTGCTTATTGTCGTCGTCGTCTTCTTTGCGTCTTTGACTTGTTTTGTTGGTGCCGTCGCGCTGGGGCCGCAGGTGTGGGTCGTGAGTGCGACAGCACGAAGACGAAAGGAAGCGAGGGCAACACGCGGCGGCCTCTACCATGGACCCCGCTCCAGCCGCCTCAGCCACGAGGAATTACAAGCGTGATAATGATGGCAACGATGGGCATCCGCTGGGTGAATTCCTAACAGGCAAGTACGCCGTGACAAGCGCGCTGCAGGCGCGCTTCATCAACCAGTACGACCCCATGTATGACAGGCCCTACACCCACTACGAACTCAACACAAATCGCTACTTGGACGAGGAGCTCTGCCGCCTCCTTGAGGAAGATCGTCGCAACAACACCCAGCACCACTTGCAGACGGACAAGATTGAAAAGGCCTTCATGCTTGCGCTCTTGGCACATGAGGCGATCTTGCGTAGCTAGCGATGATGCGTCTCAATGTCTATATACATGAATGCCGCAGATTTTTTTTAATTATTATTTCTAATCTCCTTAAGTGGACCCCTTCCAACA